TTCAGCAATCCACTCACCTCAGCATCCCAAAGCGCGGGATTACAGGCTGAGCCACCGAGCCCGGCTGAAGATTGTAATTTCTGACCAGCCTACAGGTTGTCTGCCATTGGCTCAGGTGTCTGGACTAGGACCAATTACCTATGGATAGAGGAGGTGGGGGCACCGGGTACTGCATGTGACTTCTTGGACCTGTCCATGAACAGAAAGTGTGGACAGAATGTGTCCCCTCAGAAAAGGTATATAGATGGGCTGACACAGTACTGATATTTCCACAATGCCACCGTGCAAGACATTGATGTAACATATCAAGATAAGATGATGCTATATTGACAAAGACACAAACGCAACTCAGAAAGACAGCTGCAAAGCCGTGTGTATCTTGCAATTGCATGCTTGAAACATGAAACAAATTTCATTATTTATTTGTGATAAGTTTAATCTAAAAATATTTATTATTTTGCCCATGTTTAGCTGTCAAAACCATGTGGACTTCCCATTCAGGTCCTCCCAGCTTTAGTGAGCAGATTGCACTTAGCACAATTCTAGCCAATGCAATTCACAGAGATTTCAGTGTGATGATTAAACTGAAGCTACATTAACCATTGCAGTTGCCAGGCAGCCATTGAGATTTTGTTGTGATTGAGTTGGTCAAACCTATTAATTTGTTATTACTATTGACTAAATATCTACAATTCCATGGGCTACAGTTTTAACTGTAGGCAGAGCAGATACTTAATGACTTTAGAGGCCTCTTGTATTAAATATGTGATATGTGCCCATGGTGCTAGTGATCTCTCCTCTGAGGATGGTTCCACTTCTACCCAAGGGCCCTAAAGAACAAAGGACATTTTGATCAAGGTGGGAATGTTCAGGAGCATGGGTGCATGAGTGGAAATCCAGGTTTGGATGCATTGCTATAGTAAGAGGAAGGCTGTGGTGGTATAGGGCACAGGGATGGACGGCATAAAGGTAAAAAGCTAGGCAAACCTGGCCTGCATGGCAATTTTGGTGAACAAAACTCCCTCTAAACAAAGACCCAATCCTTGCATTCAAGATAATTGCTTTAAGACTATTCACTATGGATGATGGCATCTGTGACCTGCGTTTGTACAAATTGCACTCTCTTTTTTATAAATTCTCAGCAGAAACTATTCTCTCTTGTCACTGGAAGTTCACAGTGCTGGTAGTGTTTCTCTTGTGCCCCAAACCACTTTCTACTTGTATTTTTAAAAATATCTGTCTGATTTCTCCCCATCTTTGGTTGGAAATTCTTTTAAGACAAGATCAATGTCTGATTCATCCTGGTGTTCCTGCCATGGCTTGGAACATGTAAGCCATTTAATAAATATTTGTTGGGTGAATGAGAGTAAGAACCTAAATTGTCTTTTGAGTCACCAAATTGACCACAATTCCTGTTGTTCTCTCTGCACAGTGACAGTATTTGGCACAGGAGAATGTCTGAGATGGTCTCCTTACCAATTGAAGCAAATTTCAGTGTCAAGTTTATTTTAAATGTTCATGTATCCCTAATGTAGTACTGTAAAAACATCATCAATATTCTTGTAATATGTGGAAAGAAGGGTATACAGGCTCTGTTGATTACTAAATTCTCAGGGACAGATCAGGAAAGTTCTTTGAGTGCAGAGAAAGAGAAGAATGAGGAGGAGGGGGAGAAAGAGGAAGAGGAGAGGAGGATAATAGTTAGCATTTATTGGCAGTTTACTATATGCCAGACCTCATTATAAGCATTTTGTATTTACTAACTCACTTAACACAACAGCCCTATGGGGATGGTACTATTAGCCCACTTTATAGATTAGTCTAATGCAAAACAGGACAGGTTGCTTTTTGTTGGACCCCTGGGACTCATAGCTCTTTGAGTTTTCCTTTCTTTCTCTCTTTATGTTCCTGGGCCTTCTAAGAAGGCCTTGAGTGGTCAAAGACAAAATGACAATTGTTTGTGATTTCATGCTAGGGAGGCCATCCTGGTTCATTACTGGTCTCTCTGAGGTAAGCCTAGGTCTTTAATATTCTTCAAAATAGAGTGCTGGTACAGTGAACAAATTCATGTCTTTCTGATATTTAATGCTTTGAAAGAATAACATTGGTATAATATTTTTCAAAAGCAAACCGAGCCCTCCTTTATAGGTTTGAGGATGCAGAGAGACGAAAGGTGAGAGGGAGTCAGACAACCCTGTCCTGCCACAGCTGTTTGGGTGACGACTCCAACAGTAAGTGTCTGTTTGGGCAGTTCCAATTTTCCAGTCATGCCAAATGAAGATGTTCACTGCTTTGAATTCGATCTGACTTTCAAAGGCACTACTTGAAAACTCCAATATTATTTGGCTAAACAACTCCCACTTCCCAGGAGGGTCCCTTTATTCCCCATCTGTTTTGATTTTTGACATTTTGGGTTGGCAATAAAAGCCTCCCCACTAGAAGTTAGAGGCAAAATCAGTGACAGAAAGGTTTGATTTGTTCTTAACAGATTTTTTTTTTTAAAGTTACTCTTCCAGGAAATTCGGTATCCTGTGCCCAAATGGCACACAGAAGGGCAGAGGTTACATAATTCTTTAGATATGTTTAATATACAAGAGGAGACTCCAAAAAACTAGAATTATCTTTTGGAGAGCAGGTCCCTTGTAGTGCAGGCTTCCCCTGCTAGGGAGTGTTTTAGAAACCCAGCTGCATCAGTGTACTGGCAAGTATTGTTGTGAGAGGCAGTGTTCAGCTTCAGATAATTTTTTTGTAATAAACAGGTGACTGGTTCGTCTACCATGACAACATACCTGTCCACGTCACACTGAGTCTTCAACAGTTTTTGACCAAAAGCAGCAATGACCCCAATGCCTTATCTTCCCTATTCACCGAATCATGCCCCAAGAGACTTTTTTTGTTTTCCCAGATAAAAAAGGCCTCAAAGAAACATTTTGCCAATGTGGAAAAGGTGAAACAAAAACCAGTAGAAGCACTAAAAGGCATCAAAATCAACAAACTCAAAAACTGTTTTGAGCAGTGTCTCAATGGGTATATGGTACCAAAAATAGTACTTTAGAGGTGACTGAAGTTTAAACATATAAGAATAAATGCACAATTTTTTAACAAATAAATTCTGAGGGTTTTGGGGTCCCCCTTGCTGGCCAAAGTGGAGAATTGAGATGGCATCTAGAGTTCTGGCTTGGCAACATAAATACTTCACAATAATGCAAATTTATTCCTATATCCACATGCCTGGAAAAGCCCAACATACATCGATACTCAATAAATATTTGTTGAATGAATGAATGAATAGGGAAAGTCTAGAAAAATATCAGCTATAAATGTTGGAAGTAATTAATTTCTCTTTAAATAACTGCATGTTCTGGTTTTTCTATTATACATATGTATTACTTTTATAATATTTTAAAAAATATAACTGTAATTTTCCAGGAACTTACTGATTTGAAGCCGAAATGAGGGCAAAGATCGGACTGGGTTTTGCCACCTTTATGATTGCCAAGATCTGCTTTATTGTGGGTAGTATATCGATAACCCCTATGGTAAGTTCCTGGAAGACTGGGCCCTTTTCAGGATCTGGATCAAGTCAATACTTTCTAGCCAATGGAGAAGTAACTACTTTGTTCTTGGAGCAAACGGCTCTTAAAATCACAAGATGTTAGAGGTTGCCTTGCCCAATTTTCTTAGTTTTTAAATGAAGACACTGAGTCCAGAGAGTTGGTTCGCCTTGAGTAAGTCAGTGATGAAACTGATATTAGTATGCAGGTCTTCTAACTTCAAGCATATTTCTCCATTTTGCACTGGAGAGTCAGAAATCCAGAAAAAAATTGTAGCACATTCAATTGGGCAATTGAGGAAAACTTATTAAAGGGACAATTTAAAATGTGTGGGCAGGGTTGGGATGACCAGCAAAGGAAGTACTCCAGGTGTGCAAAAATGAAGAGCTGCTACCCCACGGACCCAGTTGTAGAACCTGATAAAGCAGGGACACAGAGAAGATGGCTGTCAGGCATGGAACCTTGAGCAGAGGGACACAGCCAATCTGCAGAGACCCTGTGGCAATGGTGGGAGCTGGGGAATAAATAGTCCAACCTCATTATTTTTTCAACTGGAAGCCAGAGGTCAAGGGAACTTGGTGCAGTTCAGAGAGAGCAGCATCCACAATCCCATAGCACGGAGTGAGGAAGGGTGGAGAGGGAACCCGGAGGGGCCTATGGGAAATATCTCACACATTTGCCTTCTGGAAGATAACCCCAGCCCTATCTTTGCCCTTTGATCTTTGAGCGGATTCAGCTTCAGATCAGTAATAGCCTGGACAATTGAGGTTATGTTTTTAAAAACCATTATTATACAAAAAAAAATACACATTTACCATAGAAAAACCAAAATATAAAGCTATTTAAAGAAATGAAAATTGCTTTCAACATATGATGGACAACTTTCTAGATGTTTTGTACTCATTCATTCATTCATTCATTCCTGCCATAAATATTTACTGCATGCCAATGTGTGCCAGGCTGTTTTAGATATGCAGACAAACATTCCTTCCCTCAAGGGGCTATTATTTCAGCAGGGCAAGCATCACATTAAACAAGATACATAACCAAAATGATAGAATGTGAGAGAGTGATAAAGTTTTAAGAAGAAAAATAAAGCACAGGGCAAAGGAGTAAGAGTGGAATTTTCAATAAGATAGCCAGAAGGAGGGAGGGATATAGGAGCGAAAGAGAGACAGAGAGACAGAGAGAGATTGAGAGAGAGCCCAAGCAAGCATTGGCTGTCCCCTCTATCAGGCCTTTCCTCGGGGTTAATTGCTGAAGGTTCAGGTAATGGGGAGTGTAGGTGGTGTGACTTCCCCCCTCCCTCGCAGTTTCAAAATGTCTCTTTTTAGACTTTTTAAAGGGCAAAGCTTTCTCCACTCCTTATATTAGCCATTAAAAAAGTGCCACGGGGAATCCTCAGTGCAAGTTTATTAGCTAAATTCTTGGTACATATCTGTTTCTATTTCTAGCTGGGTGTCTTGGGGAAAGTCATTAAACCTCTCTGGGCCTCAGCTTCCTCATGTGTGAAAATGAGGGCTTTGGTGACAATGAAAGGAAATGAGATTAGATCTGTGAGGGACCTAGTGCCCTATTAGCTAGTATCTAATAGATGGTAGCTCCTTTGCTTTGCTGGTCAGTTGTGTTCTGGTAAAATTATGGACCTGCACTCCACAGAATATGAGAGTAGACTGATTTAGTAGTAATTGCTGGCATCAACTGATCACCTGTGTGCCAGGTACCCCCTCTCATTAAACCCTCGCAATGTAATATAAGGAAGTGGAAGCACAAAGTCCCCTTACACAGGTGGCAGGTTTCAGAGGTGAGATTCAAATCCTAGTCTAGTTGACATTAAAGCCTGTGCTCTCTTGACCGAGACCCTGTGCGGTTCCTCGCCCGGCCCTGCTCAACCGATGGAGTCAGTGTAGCAAAGGCTTTTCTCACAACTTGAAAGCCCACCAAGCGATACAGACTACTAGATAAAGGACCGTAATTACCCTGGAAAAGCTTCTTTGCTAAATCTCACTAGGGCAATAGTTCTGCAGGTACCTGTGGATTATCTGAATAGTTTTGTTGTTGTTGTTGTTGTTGTTTGTTTGTTTTTAAATACAAGTGCCAGGGCTTTTCCTTTTGAAATTCTAGCTGACCAGGTCAGGGGTAAAGCCTGGGTGCCTGAGGGTGTGTGTGTGTGCGTGCACACACATGAGCTTAAACACAGTCCCGGGTGTTTCTGATGTGCCCCTTGGGAAACTTCTGGTTCTTGCTTACTGGTTGCAACTGAGATCATTCTTCTCAGTGGCGGTGGATGTGCTGAGAAGTCTAATCCAGTCTTCGTTTGAATCTTTGGTAAAACTATTGGCACAGAACAAGGTCAATTTGCCTTGAAACATTAATAAGAGAGGTTTTCTTCCCATCAGCCCACAGGTCAGTGTTCTTTGGCCATTCAGTCTATCAGTTGTACTACCCTCCCGTATACAGTTTCTATGAGGACATGAGAGAACTTGTCAAATCTTTGCTCAAATCAAGGTGTACATCTGCACTGCTCTTTTCACTCAACATTCTAGAATCCCCATCAAAAAACAAAGTGCAATTGATTGGTGTACCTCTTTATCAACGAACTCAAACTAGCTGCTCATGATTAACAACTTCTTTCCCAAGGACTCAGAAGTTGGTTTTTTTTTTTTCTCTTGAGGGCCAAAAAATCTATTGTCTTCTTAGTAGGTATCCCCAAATGTGAGCTCACATCAATCAATTGTAAAATCAATTTGGGCCTCATATGGTGTCACTTGTGTCTTGACATTGCAATTCTCTCAAGAATGAGGGCTCAGAATGTCAGCATACATCTAGAAACTTTGGAGGGCAGATGTAGAGAAGAAAGAACTGGTCTCGAAGTTGTACGCTCGCCATATTTTTTTAATAATCAAGAATGGGAGAAGCTACACAGTCATTCACATTAAATGCAGATCATTTAGCAAATCTATTCTGGAAACCTCAGACACACACTCATCCATCCTATCACTTCCTTGAAGATAGCAAATGAATCGCCTGCTCCCCACCTCTGTCATAGTAATCATAGAGTCAAAGTACTTAATTGGTAGGGCTATTTCTTCTTCCTTCTTCCTTCTTCCCTCTTCTTCTTCTTTTGAGTTGGAGTCTCACTCCATTGCTCAGGCTGGAATGTAGTGGCCCTCTCACAGAGTCAACCTGCTGGGCTCAGGTGATCCTCCCACCTCAGCCTTCCAAGCCAGAACTACAGGCGTGCACTACCACACCTGGCTAATTTTTTGATTAGATCTCGCCAAGTTACCCAGGCTGTTCTCGAACCCATGGGCTCAGGCAATCCCCTCACCTCAGCCTCCCAAAGTGCTAGGATTACAGGCTTGAGCACTGCACCCAGTCAATATTTCTTCTTTTTAAGTTGGTTTATATTTTTTATTTTACTTCATTTTTTAGAAGTGTGGATCTTTCCTTACATTTGAGTGTAAGCCACATAGGGTGGCTGTCAATTCCCTATAAGTCTCTAAATGCCCCAGATAGTACTTTGAAAGTAAATTTTATTCTCTTAAGAAAATGACTTAACCAATACTGCCCATTATATCTGACCTCTGTTACTTTGATACATTAGCTTGGTATTCATATTTTTAGACTGTGAAAGAAATCCATCATTTGGCTTATTTATCCTAAGGTATTCTATTTGCATGAGACCCTATATGAGGGGGAACCCCTCAAAAAA